ATTTTTTAACCACACATTTCTAATCAATACACTATTCCAAAATGTATTTTTAGGAATATAATGTGGCTCAAACAAGGGCATAGCATACGTAGGCAATATTTGTAGTAATGTATAGAATTATTTTCATTTAAATATATGTTGCTTGAAAATATATATGTATGTGTGTGAGAGAGAGAGAGTTAAGTACCCGTCACCTGCCACATCATTTAATTGGTGAATACATGAGATCTACCATCAATTAAATGATATGTCATGTCATCGGTGCTTAACACAAGATAAGCACCGATACTTAGAAGATCATTTTCGTGTATATATAACTTAATTTTTGAACCGACGACAAAAAAGGTATGACTTTGACTCCTCCACTGAATGGCTCCTTTTAGGTTCGTGGAGTATTAAATACAAGAACCGAAATTATCAAAGTATGAACAATTAGCTAATTGAGATGAAAGGAATAAGATTTAGATTTGTAATTTGATTTTTGTTTTTGGGATGATCTTCCAGAATGAGGATATGGTAAAATGGTGTAAATTAGAGATTTTAGAGAGAAAAATAGTTTTGAAATGTTTAATATATAAATATTAGTTAAACCCGAATTTTCAAAAACAAAAAAATGAAAAAAATTGAAAAAGGGATACGGTCTAATTTTTCATTTTCTAAGATCGGATTCCGAGCTTTTAGTGGGCCATAAAATTGATCCAAAATCTCTTACCCAGTATAAAAAATATTTGGTCCCGGCCTTATATAGATTAAAATCAATTTTTTAACAAATTTTATAAAAGTTAATAAATCTGTGGTTGAAAAGTTAGAAATTCTATGAAATATATGGTTAAAATTAACTTAGCACAATTACGAGGGAACAAATAGAGAGCAAGTCTGACTAAGCTTGAACAATTTACTTATAAATAAATATACTTAAAAAGTAAATGAAGACTGCAATGTCATATTTATCCCTATCCCTATAACATAAAAGAGCCACTTTGTATGGCATAGGAATAGTGTCCATTTTTTTACTTTCCCTTTTTTTTTTTCCTCCTCTTCCTCCCTCAAAACGATGTCGTTTTTCTTTTTACTATCATCTCCACTCGATTATAAATTAGCTTTTGCAGCCTCCCTTTGCTATTAACCTTTCCTTACACGTTAAATCAATTGGTTTTTACTGTTTGCTTAAGATATATGCAAAGACGAATTAATCTACTTGTACCAAATGTCTTACCTAATTTTTGACCAAATTTAGCCTTCCTTTGCTATTAACCTTCCCTCACACGTTAAATCAATTGGTTTTTACTGTTAGCTTAAGATGCATGCAAAGATGAATTAATCTACTTGTAATCTACATGCAAAGACTTTTATCGTCTCTCTCTCACTTTCCCTTTCTCTCTCTTTTACACTCTCTTTCCAACTCTCTTGGTCGGGTCTTTCTTTTTCCACTGAACCTATCCCCTCCTCCCTCTCTAAGGCCCCGTTTAGGAGTGATTTTGAGAATTGATTTTGTGATCGTTAGGAGAAAAGTGAGGACCACTTGTGAGAGAAGAAGTCAAACTTTACGATTAGAATGGTGAAATAACGATCAAAATATCAATTTTTTAGGGTGAAAAATCACTCCTAAACAACCTCTAAGGCTTTACAAAAATCTTCTCAAAAGTTTGATCAGATGTCAAAGCAGACGGGGTATTTTTAAGTTTGACCCAGTCAAAGGGAGGAAATTTCACTTTGACTTTGAAAATCATGAATATTATCACATTGGCCTCTTAAATGTTAAAAGACAAGGATGCCCTTAAATGTATTATACATTTACAAAACAATGTATTGTTGAAAAGACTTTACTATTCTTTTAGTTAATAATTGAAAATCAAACACTTCTCCACTTATAAAATTTCAAAACGAGCTTCCAAGACAGAAAAACTCTCATCTTTCATCTGCTTGAACCTCAACATCTCAAAAAATGTTCAAACTCTGAAGCCGAAAATTTTTTTCATATCAATTTCTTCAAATCAGTAAGGATATTTACGCATGTTTAATTTCTTTTTCAGTAAATTAGTATACGTTTGAATAGAGAAAAATTATTTCCACATAGTAATAGTTAGTATTAATTTTTTTAGCAGATCTTACGTATGAAAAAAAAATTGAACAGATCTATAATTTTTTTCTTCTACGTAATACGGAAAACAGAAAAGCAGTCGACTGTTTGGCTGTTAAACAGCCAAACAGTCACATGACTGTTGGCTGTTTAAGTAGCCAAACGTCTGTTATTTCGGTGATTTCGAATTGAATGAAAATAATCGGTGGGAATGGAGATGGACAAGTGACATACGTGGTTGTATTGCAATTCCCATAATAAATAGTACACCATACTTAGAAATGTACCACGATTTGCAAAATAAGCTGAAGGTCAATCAATCTCAATACGATATGCAATTGAGATATCTATTCAACGGTTATAGGGATTCATCCATTCCGATGCCATTGGTATTCGTTACTAATGATGCTGAATTAAATTATCTATTAGAATTGAATAAAATGCATCGGACTCCGACTGTTCTTAGTATGACTTTAATTATGAAAGATGTTATTGAAGATGAACGCAAAGATTCAGATAGGGCGGAAAACAATGATCGAGATTTTTGGGAGACAGTGGAGATAATTCCTGCGGATGATGTTGTTATTCTTGAGACAGTTGCTTCTGATCGTGATGTCGCTGTAACGCGCAGAATTTCGTCGACGGTTGAAGACAATGAGAATATAAACGAGTTTACAAATGAGAATTTGATTGCTTTATCCCGACAGAGACATGAGTCGGGTGGGAGTTCACAGGTTGGAACAAGTGGACCGTTCTCCAATTCTTCCCGTGTGGCTCCCGATTATGAGGACTTGTATGTCGCGCAACTGTTTGAAACCAAGAAAGATTTGCAGGAAGCTGTGCACCGGTTGACATTGAAATAAAACTTTGAGTTCAAGATAAAGAAATTAAACAAGTCATTGTTGACAGTTGCCTGCGTCGAAGGCAGTTGCAATTGGCGCTCGAGAGCAACTAAGATGGACACGAATGAGTGCTTCGTAATTCGCAAGTATTCACGGGAACATACTTGCGAAGTGGGAATTTTTCGAAACGATCACAAGTAAACTCGAGTATGGTTTATTGGTCGACAGATAATCCACAAGTATCAGGACCCACGGACGATCTATAGACCTTCGGACATCATTAACGACGTCCGTCAAGAGTATGGAGTGGTCATGAGCTGCAAAGCCAAAAAATGTGCGTTGGAGGATTTAATTGGATCGGTTGAGGACAGCTATGCTAAATTGGCCAGGTATTGCTATAATATGGGAAAAACTAATCCTAGCACGACATTTTTTATTGAGACGGGGGGCGATAATTGTTTTAAGTATTTCTTCATGGCTCTCGGACAATGTATTCGGGGTTTTCAAAATGTAATGCGACCCGTAATTCTAGTTGATGGTACAACTATGAAAGCTAAATATCAAGGTAAATTAATTATTGCTACATGTCAAGATGTCAACATCCAAATTTACCCTATTACATTCGGCATAGTCGACGGTAAGAATGATATGTCCATGCGTTGGTTCTTTTCGAAACTGAGGGAAGTGATCGAGGAAGTCGAAGACCTTGCCTTTGTAACCGATCGAGGACAGTTTATAATAAACAGTATCGCTGAAGTTTTTCTAGAGGCACATCACGGGTATTGCATGTACCATATACAAGGTAATTTGAAAACTAGGTATCGGGCAAAGGCATCGTTTCATTGTTCAAGAGAACAGCCGAAGCTTACAGTGCTGAAGAGTGTAATAAGTTCATATTTGAGATAGGAAGTAAATCATTACTGGCATTGGAGTATCTGACGAACATAGGGATCGAACATTGGGCGCGGTCATACTTTCCAAGACGTCGATACAACATGATGACGTCGAATAACGCGAAGTCTCTCAATGCATTGTTTAAGAAGGATCGAAAGTTACAAATTCTCGCAATGATTGAGAACATTCGTAATAAGTTGCAACAGTGGTTTCATGACCGACGTGCGGCATCACAGAGTTGCAGTAGCGTGCTAGCCCCAGCTCAAGAGGAGAAACTCTTTAAGGTGGCAGAGGTTGCGAGGAAACTGAATGTGAAAGTACTAGATGAGTTCTGCTTCTCCGTGCAATGTGCACATAATACGGCATATATAGTGGACTTGACTGATAACACATGCACCTGTACGAGATTTCAGTTAAAGAGTTTTCTATGTGAGCATGTAGTTGCGGTGGCCATATATCGAGATTTTGTAGCGAGAACGTTATGCTCTTTGTATTATACGACTGAGTCTTGGAGAACAGCATATGCGGAGACTATATTTCCTCTGCCGAATGAAACAGAGTGGGAAGTTCCAGAGCACATTTTCTCGTTTAATGATTTGTTGCCACCAGCAGTTGAACCGCGTGGTCTTGGACGTCCAAGTACATCTAGAATACCATCTATCGGAGAGTTTCCTCGACCGCGTAGGTGTGACAGGTGCAGAGCCATAAAGCATACTCGACAATTTTGTACCAGTCAAATTTCCCTAAATGACAATTAGACAGATATGTTCAATATTTGTTCTTCATAAATGTTCAATGTTCTATATTTATTCTTGATAAACGGTATATACAATGATTTACATGAAAAAATTAGTTCCATTCTCATCATATGTGTAAAATAAAAAAAAATCAACCTACAGAAAAATAATTATATACATTGAACACAAATTTAAAATTATTTCATAATAAAAAAAATATTCACATTTACAATGTGAATGTTATATATACCGAACACAAATTTACAATTATTTCATAATCACAAAAAATAATTAAATTTACAATTCGAATGTTACATATAAATAATACAAATTTACGGGTCGCCATTAAATTCGAACAAATCACATGCTAACTTCTTTCTCCAGTTCTGTATCTACGATTGGTTGATTCCATCAACATTATATCCTATACTTAAAAATTCAAGGTACTTAATGACAAATATGCTGCAGTCGCCGCTACAATTGAACAAGAATGAATCAGTTCAGTACTGTGTAGCTAAAAAACTAAATCTGAAAGATGAAAACAATAAAGTTCAAATACTTACCTTACGGACTGTCGCGATGTCATCGTGTTCCGAACAATCTGCAATTTGTCCTCTACAGTCATCCCCGCTTATCTGGCCATCATAGAAACAATTACAGCTACAGTATCCAAGTTTTGCTCCAACTGGCTTTGCGTCAAACATGAATGATCTGGGTCGTACACATATATAGTCGTGTCAGCAAAAACGATCTCCAGATTAACATAGTGCTTATTGATACACGCTAGAATGTACATATGTGTACAACCCTCTCATGATTTTCCCCAACACTCGGCGACAATCTTATGACCCCTCGAGCATATATTCTAGCACCGTGTACTCGTTACCCATAAATTGGAGCGACTGATACTCTATGGTAAAGACACGCAGGAACAAGGTGTTTAATATGACTTGACCATGGACGTCAAATATTTTGGATGTCTCTAAACTCAATCTCGCAGCAAGTCCATGGCAAAGTCGATGTGCTACATCAAGAAACACCAAAAAATTATTTGTTATTTTTTTAATAAACACAAAGTGACGTATACATACAAAACACGAAATTAATAGTTCACTTACATCGTCAGCGAGCCAAACTCCCGAAGTCGTGATATCGTTAAACCACTTGTAAGCGTCCGAGACTGTTCGGTTACCTATCGTGCGAGTAGCTTTGAAAAATAGGGAAATGTTAAAATAAGTATAGACGAGTTAGCGTACAATGCTTTATTAAAATCATACAATACTTACTTGGGGATAATTCTCCTCCACTCCGTCTCGAATGCTTTCCACTTGACATTGTCCACCTCTCTGAATAAGTTCGGGTACGTCCCTTCGATGAACGTCCTCCTCTTGACCTCAGCCGTGAAGGAGGAAACAACATACTGTGACGGCACTCTCAACCTCTTGCCAACCACCAGCTCCGTCTCATCAACAACATGTCTCTTACCCTCAATCACGATGGGCGTCCTCTCGCCCTCTGGGGCCCCTTCCTCCGTCGCCACCTCATTTGCCCCTCCCATTGGGGCCACATCCTCCGTCGCCACCTCATCCGTCCCCCCATCAGTACCTCCCCCTCCGTCGCCACCTCCTCCGCCCCTCCCATCGGGGCCTCCCCCTCCGTCGCCACCTCCTCCGTCCCTCCCATCAGGGCCTCCCCCTCCGTCGTCCTCCATCGGGGCCACCCTATACCCCTTCATAGACAGTCAGAATGACTCTAATGTCTCGTCATGCCAAAAATGTGGGTGAGCCCCCTCTCCATCCCATCTCTGCCACCCTCTCGATCTTCTCCACCATTCCCTCTGTCCCCCCATCGCCTAGCGGCTAAATCTCTTCTAAGTGTCGCTACCGCATCCTGAAGGTCGACAACGCAAGACCGTAGCATTCCAACATCATGGGATAGATCGTCAACCCTCCCTGTCATCTCTCGTCCCATATCGTCGACCCTCCCTGTCAGACAGTCGACCTTCCCCGTCAGATTGTCGACCCTCCCGGTCAACTCTCGTCCCAGATCATCGACCCTCTCCGTCAACTCTCGTCGTAGCGCCCTGACCTCCTCCGCTATAAATCCAATCAGACGGGTAAACAAATCATCAGTGTGTGTCGGCGATACACGGGGGACGTATCTAGACTAGGAAGAAGGAGATACCCTCGACAGTGGCAATGCCAATGGCGACGGCGATGCATTGGCGTTGCCCTCGACGGAGGCGATGCCAATGGTGGCAACGATACCCTCGACAGAGGTGATCGTCGATCAGCTGGACCGCCCTCCTACATAAATAACATTAAAAATTATTCAATAAATTTATACGTCGACGATATTCAATAAATTATATTTAATTTACATACCCAATCTCGGTCCACACTCGGATTAGACATCTGCTCGTCTTCGGTGTGCGGAACATCTACATCCCGCACAAGACCCCGAACCTCCTCTTTCATCGACAGCGTCAACTCAGGTATGACTTCAAGCTGACATATTGACATTTGAACTAGTTAACGATCATGTAAACAGATTTAAACTACGTATAATATAAATCACAAATGCATAATACTTACCTGAGGATCGTCGAGGAGGGCCGATAACTGTTTCCCAGTGGGATATCCCTCCGCTTGCGATGATCTCCAATGATGCATCCGAGGGCATCGTGTCTCCCCTCGCTTCGCGAAGCGGGCTCCCAGTGCAGGGATTGTCTTATACACCTAAATCTGCAATACATACACTTATTATGCATAAATGTAATAAACTAAAACTTTAACTTTAATTATATTAAACATTTACCTGCACCGCTAAGGGCAACCCATATGTATCGTATTTACGCATTGACCCCCTGGGCCTCGAGTGTAATCTGGTGAAGACATGTACGGTATCTTCGTAGCATCTCCGGCCCCATGGATAGTTGTTGAACACATCAATGTCGTCAACAACTTTCAAATGAAAAATGTCGATGATAGTCTTCTTGTGATGACACCTCATCACACTCTCGAGGATGTAGACCAGCCCAAACTTCAATCTATCTAGCATCTGCTCGTACCCCCTAATCGCGACCATCAACTCGGGTAGATGCACTGATCCATGTCCCTGGAAGTATGTCTCGTACAACCTATTGCTTCTCTCAATGGCTGTATCGTCGCCCGTAATCCTCAGTCCAGTGATCAAGCTAAACTCATAAATCGAGAAACTGACGACCTTGCCCCCAAGGTCGAAGTGGAGGGAATCGCCATCGACTTGCCTCAAAAGTCGACATAAAAGTGCATCGATGATCTGTCCTGAGTACTGCATCTCTCCCATCTGGTACAGTGGCCACAAGAAGGACTGTCGCAGCATATCTCCGTGATGATCACCGCAGTAAAACTCTCAAAACTACTGTTCTAAGTAGCTTTCCCCGCCATCCGTCTAAACTCCCCACCTAAATAATACTCCATCCTGCAAAAATTCAAATGTTAAAACATTGAATAATAGATAATAAAGTAACGCGTAATCTCAAAAAATCAAGACAACCGAATTATAACTATCATACAATACGCAAGACATTGACGCTAATAACAAAATAAATTCAATGCAAATTTAAAAATTAAAATAATTTAGTTTATCTTGTTTATTACATTTGGAAAATATATTTACAAAAAATATTTCAAATTAAATACATTTAAAAAAAATAAAGAATATAAATATTATTTAAATAAATTATAACAAAATCAAAGATTATTTCATAAAAGAAAAATAAAAGGAACGAAATAAATTGTTAATTTCGGACAACATTATCTATTCAATTATTAAATTATATAAAAAAAGAAATTATAAAAAAAATTAACATAATTATTATTTAATCAAATTAATCTTGCAATCATTTGGAAAATATATTTATGAACAAAAAATTTCAAATTAAATACAGTTTTAAAAAATTAAAAAATAAATATATTATCTAAATAAATTTGAAAAAAAAATTCAAAGATTATTTCATAAAAACAAAAATAAAAGGAACAAAATAAATTGTTAATTTTAGATAATATTCAATTATTAAATTATATAAATAAAAGATAATTAAAAAAATTAAATAATTAAATTATATAAATAAAATAAAAGACAATTATAAAAAATAAATAAATAAATAAATAACATAATTATTCAATCAAATAAAAAAATAAATTAATTATAAAAATTGAAAAATAAATAAATAATTAAACAGTCACTGGACCGACTGTTAACAATGAACAGTCGGCCTACGACTGTTAACAGTCTGGACTGACTGTCGGTCGGGTGATCCGGCTGTTAACAGTCGGGCAGGATCGACCCGACTGTTAACAGTCGTCGTCTTTCTGCAGGTGAAATCGTCATTTTCGATAATGAAGAGGTCTAAAAATTACAAAAAATTCACATTTTTCACCCCATTTACATTCACAATCTAACAACTTTATATTTTAACTTTTTTTTTATTCATTTAATGGGTCAAAGACCAATGTTAAAATGAAATTTGCTACTGTTCCAAGACTTACAAAGTATGCTTCTGGTTCCACCGTCGGTTCCACATGGCCGCGAGGGAAGAGCAGCCCCGACATCAAGGCCGTATTTGAGCAATACTCGATAATAGAGTAATGGGTGTTGATCAGCCGCAATGCTTCCTCGTTGAGGTCCATAAAAAGGAGAATGCCACAGTTGCTAATGCTCAGGTTCCACGAGTTGAAGCACCACAAATCTTCGCCAGGGACTCAATCTTGAGGGAATTTTTTTTTAATTATTCGTTTGGGGATGTTAATCGTCACTTAATCTAAACTCGAGTAATGTTTCTCTAACTTTTTCCCACTTCTCTTTAATAGTGGATTTGTAAATTTTGGATTTTTTTCCCCTTCACTCTTTCTTCCTCTTTTGTTCCTTTTTCCTTCATTCCACGCTTAACTCTTATTCTGCACCGTGTTTACCCTCTTTTTCTCCTCTCACATTGCAGGGGAAAATTCTAATTTTAAACTCATAAAAATCTTATCTTTTTTGCATCTTCTCGAGCCGAGCTTAAGCTCGCAGAAGAGGGCAAAATATTAGCTTCTTCTCACTTGATTTATTGTGGGGCTAGATAGTTTGCTCAGGTATCATAGCTTTCTTAGCTGAGTGTTGGGTATTTTTTGGTAAGTGATACCCAAATTCTCTAGACAATGATGAAAATCGAGGCCCGTTTAACTTCATAGGCTATAAGCCTAATATTGAATAACATATTGGACCCACACCACAATTGATGTAACCCAATTGTATTGGGTATTTGGAGGAAATCAGCCCATTGGGCTAGATGCTCAATACCCGACTATGGAGATAAATGAAATCACAAAAGATAGAATTGGTTGCAAATAATTATCTCGTGATAATTATCCTATCCCTACCGTTTCCGTTGGACTCAAATTTAAACTTCCCTGTTATCTTGGAGATTTGATTTCCCTCGTGATAATATACAAGAGTTTTATATATCCAAAAAACTCAACCAATTTAAAAAATGAGAGAGAAGCCGGCTGCCTTCTTCTTCTTAGAGTGAGAACTTTTCTGCAAAAAGAAAAAAAAAGACTTCCTTCTCTGTGAAAATCGAAGTCGACCTTTGTGGTGTGCCTTGTTGGAAAAATAATTAGTTGCAGCGGTGATCAGAACAATATAATGCAGAAATATAAAACATATCGATCGAGTCTCGTGACAGCACGATGTCCTAAAGTGAAATTGCCCGTCAATAATTGCTGTGACCTCCGTGGACAATCACTCTCAGGATACAACGATCGTAAACCACTTATGCAGCAATCACGAATGGTTTTTCTAGAACTCTCAATTGTACTCCAGAATAGGTATAAAAACCCGAATATAAGAAATTCACAATATGAAAAGAGTGATTGATTCTATTTTATTTTTGTGTGTCTTTTCCCAAAGCAAGATATGGGTTTATATAGGCAAGATGGTAGTAACAGTCTTCACCATGTTAATGCAGAATTTTAATGACTGAGTAGTGGGTGTTTTAGACATTTTAATATTTGCGTGGGGAGTGATTCGAACCCCTGACGTCCCACACAAATGTCACATTTCCCACCACTTTGGCACTTTATCTAATTTGATTATTTCTTTCACATTTTATATTTATACCATAAATATATAACATGCCTTTGTGTGCCTTTTCTTCTTCGTGTTGGATCGAAGATTTCTGAGCCTGATTTAAAAAGGGGATTTCGTTTCATTTTCTTCCCTTAAGTTTCAGTTTCTGCATTTCATTTAGTTCACTGCTTCATTTTGGTTTCTTGAATTCCATTACATTTATTTGATTTAATCCTTCATTAACCTTTGTTGTGTGGTTGCAGGTTGGATTAAAAACAACACTGAGATCTCGGAAGAAAAGCACCAATTTTCACTGAAATAGGTAATTTAATGCTTATGCGAAGACCCACTTTGTTTTCCTCGAGCTTTCATATCTTTGATTTACTTCATTGTGAACAGTATGAATGGGGGTTTGAAATGGTTTACTTCATTTTACGCGTTTCTTTTTGCTCAGGGTTTGAATCTTTGGATTAACTAATTATTATAAATGTCAATTATTATTATTTCCAGTTGGTGTTTGTACTTCTTGTAGTTGAGAGAGTGTATAGGAGGAAATGGAAGGAAAGGAGCACGGGTTGATGCTGGCATGTGTCATTTTGGGGACCCTTTTCTTTGTTATGGGTTCTGCTTTTTTAGCTAGGGTATGATTGGTGAATTGGAGGCTGTGGCTGATATCTAGGTGATGATTCTTTTTCACTATGATGATTATCTCTAATTATTTTCTGTTTATATATGGAAAGGATACTTGAGGCCTCTTTCATCTATTTCTATATGAAAGCAAAACTGAAGATAATAGTATCATGCTAAAGAACCTTAAATAACCCCAAACTGTACAATAAGTGCTCTTGCCTGAAATGACCAACACGGATAGGATGAAGTGGACTTCTAACTTATTACGATTGTGACATGAAATCATACAGTGAGTGGAAACAAGGAGGTGGAAATGGAGTCTGGAAGTTTGGTGGTAATTTAAGGTCCCAATGCCATTTGCAAGAAAACCTAAATCATTCATGAGTTCAGTTTAAAGGAATTCATCATGCGTTGAGAAGTCTCTTGATAATTTGTTGAGAGAGCATGATATTTTGCACGACTTTAATGACACGGTCCGTAAGCAACCACTTCAAATATCTAATATTGTTGTTACAGTGTCAAAAAGAATTTAAAAGCGGTTTTTCACTTTTTTGCGGGGTACTTCTCATTTCTTGCACGTGAACTCCTTTTTAATAAGAGCCGAGAGGATATTCTAGCGATAAGTGACTATTACCTTGTTTTCAAGGTGTGAAGCTATGATTAAATCCATCATTAGTTCCTTAGCTCATATGCTGCCGCTTTTTGAATTATTTGTTTATGTTGAACTAATAATATATGATGTAAAGGTGCCACTAACTAATTGTGGGATGTGATAATATGAAGTAGTTGAAGAATCCTTTTGAATACATCAGAAAGGGACAAATAATGAAAATATGCTTATGTGTCTATACAGATTCTTGGTTCTCTAATTTTTTTCGATCAGACAACTATGAGTCAAGTAGTGTCATAAATTCAACTCTTAATTTCCTAGAAATATAGTCGTTAGAAATGTCAAAAGCTGTACACTGAAAAGTATAAAACGCTTGAATGGTTGCTACCCTTAATAAAGCAAATGAAGTAATCTTTTGTGTGCTTCTGAGTTCTGGATTTCTTTCTTGAATTGTGTATTTTTTTTGTGATGTTAATTTGTGAGCTAATTAGATATGCAATGAGATATAAAACTTTCTGAACTTGTTGATGGATCATACCTGCAACATATGAAATATTAGAATTGATAAATTTCCTAAAATCATGTTAAAATCGATAGCTTTCACAAACTATGTATCATTTTTTTGAATTGGAAGCAAGTTGTTGTCTCATATTTAGTTTAACTACGTGTAGGATAGGACAACTATGTTTTTAAAGATTCAAATCCTTGTGTAAATATTTGTAATTCTTCTATGCAAATATAATGGATTGGTTGTAACCAATTAAATATGTTCTTTACAATATCAATTGGTGTGGACATCTTATCTTGCCTTTCAGTCATCAAATCCTCTCTGTACCTTCTTATTGGGCCATCCGTCATGTTTAAATGTATTTACTTCAATCTCCTTACTAGATCGGTATGATTTGATTTCCACTTTCATTGAATCAAAACTTCTACCTTTTCAATGTGAAGTTGTCTACGTAAGCACATTATCTTAAAATATGTTGATGCTTTCATTTGATGCATAATTGGATAATTTGGTGACCTCGACTTTTGGCTTATTGTGAACTGCTATTGCAATTTGAGGATTGATAATTTGGGCCTTTCTAGATTTAATGATTTATATTGCAGCATGGAATGCGTGTCCTGCTGGCTGATGAAATGGGACTTGGAAAGACTCTTCAGGTATTAAATCTTTTATACTGTAATACATCTCAACTCATTTCGTTAGATTGGCTAATGGGGATGGGCTCATAATTTCCTGTGAGCTTCTATTTTACATGGTTGTGCAAGTTTCAGCTATCTGTGAAATTCGTTTCCAAAAAATCAACAACTACTGAACTACTCTTATCATGAACTATGTTGTTTAACATTTAACGGAAGATTTTTCATGCTAAAGATTGTCGTTCTGTGCTAATTTAATACAAGATTTTTCATGCTAAAAATTTTGTTCCTTCTGTCCTGTAAAGTTGATGCAGGGTGAATAATTCGATAAAGATAACAAGAAGAGATGAGGGAGGGGGGAGAAGAAGAAGAACAGAGACGGAGGGAAGAAGAGAGGAAAACGGCTATAGCCAACTTTATTATTTAATCAAATTCATCAACTGAAAAATAACAATGTAGAATAGCTTTAAATACTGGAAATACTGCAAACCTAGGGCCAAGCCTAATACACAAGTCCATAAAAATGACATAACCTAAGTTCAATTAAGAAATAAAAGTCCAACTAAAATAATTAAAATTGGGATGTCCTCATCAATTCTCCCGGGGTGGGAAAGAAAACCCGACCCTGTCGAGTGGTTATATCACCATAGGCATCCGTCAATCTCCTAACCATAGGCTGAGTGGCTGGGCAAGCTTCTTCCGGCGTCTGTAGAAATGCGTCAGTGGCGGTCTGAACCTGGTGTCCTCACCAACTCCTCTCGGGTGGACGGGAGGCGATCCGGGCCAATGAAGATCCTGCTGATTCCGATAAAACTCTAACAAATCTGGATCCAATTACTGTAGTGTCTCCCTAGATATCCATGCACAATCACAATCTGGTCGACCAACCCAACCAACAAGGAAGTTCTGAACCTCTTCATCATTAGTGAACACAGTTTTTTCATCTAAAATAGCATCAATTTTTTTTTTGTGTGCTGTGAGAGGTGGTAGTGGGTTAGAAGGGGCCAAAGAATCACGATCAAGGTCCACAAAAGGAGATGACAGAAGATCATCTGAGGGAATGAAATGGCCTTTATAAGCTACAAGGTCCTCAACATTGAAAGTAGAGTGGTAACCAAGGTGTGGTGGAATGTCAACAATATATGCATTTGGACCAACCTACTTTAAAATTTTAAAAGAACCAGCACTACGAGCTTGCAATTTAGAGGCGGGTCCATGTAGACACCGCTCTGGCCTAATGCGAACCATAATGTAATCTCCAATGTTAAACTCAACATGTCGTTTGTGTAAATCAGCTTGGAGTTTATATTTTGCATTACTCGCTTCAAGTTGTTTATTGATCTCAATATGCAAGTCACGAAGATGATGTGCAAATGCTTCGGCTGATACTGACACTTTAGCCTGTGGGGACACAGGGATGAGATCTAGTGGTTTTCTAGGCTTGTACCCATGAACGGCTTCAAATGGACTCATATCTAATGAACGATTTATGGAGCTATTATACGCAATTTGAGCTACAGGAAGGATCAAATCCCAATTTTGAAGGTTTTTCCGGACCAGAGAACGTAATAGGTTACCAAGACTTCGATTAACTACTTCAGTTTAACCGTCAGTCTGAGGGTGGTAGGCCGTAGAAAATTTTAATTTGGTACCCATCTTGTGCCACAAAGTTCTCCAAAAATGGCTAGTGAAACGAACGTCCTTATCAGACACGATGGCCTTGGGAAGCCCATACAATTTGACAATTTCATTAAAGAATAACAGGGTAACCTTGGACGTATCCGACGTCTTATTACAGGGATAAAATGAGCCATCTTTGAGAAGCGATCGACAACCACAAAAATAGAGTCATGCTTCTTTGGGGTGCGTGGAAATCCTAACACAAAATCCATACTAACATCTTGCCAAGGACAATTAGGGACAGGGAGAGGGGTGTATAGACCTGTGTTCTACTTCTTCTGCTTACTCAATTGACAAGTGTTATAAGTACTAACAATCTTAGCCACGTCTTTCTTCAAGTTAGGCCAATAGAATTGACGTTCAACTTCTTCTATGGTCTTATCACGTTCAAAATGACCAGCTAACCCTCCCGCATGAATATCCCACACGATGAAATCTCGCACTAAAGTTCGAGGGATGCACAATTTATTGGCTCTAAAGAGATAACCTTCCTCAAGTCGAAAGCCATCTGTTGCGCCTGAATGTCCTCTTTGTAAATCAAGAAAGATATCTTTAAAATCGGGACACGCCTCGTAATCCTCCTAAAGTCTTTCAAAATCGATGACCTTGACACTCGTGATCGACAAAAGGGAGACACGACGACTTAACGCATCAACTGCTTGGTTCTCTACGCCCTTCTTGTGTTTTAAAATGAATAGGCTTGCAAATATTCGACCCAACGACCATGTCTAGAACTTAATCTTTTCTGGGAGTTGAGGTAATAGAGGGCCTCGTGATTCGAATAAAGGACAAATTCCTGGGGTAACAAATAGTGGCGCCAATAGCGCAAAGCCCGGACCACTGCATACAGTTCCTTATCATAAGTTGAGTACCGCTGTAGCTTTTAATGTGCTTTGATATCTCATTTAAAGACCATATTGTCTACCTGTTTTTTACTAAAAATTGAGTCGCAAAACTATCAAGGTGTTTATAATCCAGTTACCTCAATCCATGTTTTTTTCTTGCTGGATCAAGTTCCGTTGTATTTTGTAACTAAAGTTAAATAATATTGTATTGATTAGAAATCATGAACTTCACTTTATTTATGCACCAAGGTCGGATTTTTTTTTTTTCCAGTCGATTGCAAGTATGGCCTGTTTAGATTTTCCTTAGGAACATATTCCACTTTTGGATGTCCATCAATATACGAATTGATGGCCTATCTAGACTTTCCTTAGGAACATATTCCACTTTTGGAAATCCGGAGGAAGATGTATGATAGTGATAGATATTCCACTACCATGCTCGAAGCTTGTCCCCCAATAGAAGTTGTAACAATATTTTTGGAGGCTTTTTCAAGAAATAACTTGAGCTATAAAGAATTATGCAAAAGAAAACGCTCTCTTTACTGAGATGATGAAGAGAGTGATTTTCTATATAGAATGTAGTACTTCTGTTCAATAAAATGTCAGTATAATAAGACTGTAAACATTTCCTGCATTTTTTTTAAAATTTGATTGGTTATAGATAATTTTATCCTAATTCTTATTTAGTCGGTTGATTTCTATCTAGGATGCCAAAGTTATTTTTGAACCCAAATTTGATGATTGTTTGTAAATGATACAAGGCTATTTGTATTGCAGTCACAGTGTGCAAGGAAAGCTGGCCACGGTGTAATAACAGCCAAATTTGATCTAAAATCCCTATCATATGCACTGGTAAAACCTGAAAAATGCTTAGACTGCTTCCTCTGTGATTTTTTAAAATCATTTTTTTTTTGGACCTTTTCTGAACATCTTACATTGTTTAGATTTACTCCACCTTATTAATGAATCCTATATATTAATAAATAATTATGGCTCCTTTCTAAGCTTAAGCTTTTAAGGGGAGGCGTTTTTTAAGCTGCCTCTAGGGATTGAATGAACAAAAGACAATTACATAAATGCCAACTTAAAAGTTCGGCTTAGGTCTCAAAATCTCAATTACGGCCTTGGTTGAGTTATTCTGTAAATATGAATGTATGATTAGTGAACGTAGGAATTTGTTGTTGTGTTTCATGTAATCTAGGATTTTGTTCTTCCTTTTGGTGTATTATTATTATAATTTTTTTTTTGGGGGTTTTGATCTTTCCAAGGTCGTTAACGAAGTTCTTGATATCAGACGATGTCCAGGTATCTCTCTCTCTAGCAATCCTGAATTCAAAAACTATGAATTTTCAAATACTAACTTTTCTATATTGTATATTAAGGAAATTCTATCCAAATGAGTGATGGAGTTGGAGCTGTGTTTCTAATGAAGAAATGTGTTACAATGCAGAAAGGAATTCTAATCCTTCGTGTATTCAGGTGCTTATCTTATGTAACTATTTTTTTATTTTTTTTTGTATATCCATCCTATTAAGTAGCCAACTATACTATAGCACGTGCGTTTCACTAGTTTTCATAAATAAGTGGTTTTTCTAATAAATAATTTACTTGTTAATAAAAGTAAAAAATAAGTAACGGTTTATATCGAACTTTATGGACTAGATATTTAGTAAATTAGTAATAAAAACTAAAAAATATAGGTGAGATAAATATATATATTTTTTAAATATAGAATTTTAAGTATTAAGATTTTAATTTGTCCCTCGCCTCCATTATATTTTTTTCATTTAAAATTCCACCCCTTGGTTCCAAGCTCAATTTGGTAAGCTTGTTTCTTATTTATTTTTAATAAAATTTTTAAAACTAATTTTACTTATCTATTTATTCAAAACTTTCGCGTGTGATGTATTTAAAAATTCTTGATCGAAACCCACAATTAGTTGTGTGAACTTGACTGCATGCGAAGGACCCAAAACTATTTTTTGTCAACCATCATACAAGCACTATCAAATATATAAAAATATTATTTTTTAATACTTATATTTAAAAAAAATAAAAAAAATAACGTGTAACACTCGTTCATGTTAAATTAAAAAAGAGTAACATATCTTCGTGGGCTAACTAATGTCACACATTAGAGAGTTGATTCGTACGTCCCACCTTGAACCAACTCTAATTTTTAAATTTTATGTATAAATTAAATAGGTTAAAAATAGAATTTAGTAACATATTTTAGTACACTTACTTATAAGTGGAATTATAAAATAAAAATCAAAAAATTTAAATTACTTTTTTTTTTAAAGTAACTTCTACCTTAATATTAAAAGAAGTAAATTTTTTTTTTCCACTTATAATGAGAAACATGGAAAATCTATTATAGTTCTAAATAAAATTTACTTAGGTCTTGTTTGTCATCCATTATTTTAAGAATTAAAGAGTTTTGAATAATATTTTTTGTAGAATGTGTGGTTAAAAAGTAAAAAACTTAATTGATTTGTATATATAATATTTTATTATGTGAATGTGTGGTGGAGAATGATACTGTAAGAATCAATTTAAATATTTAGAAAGAGATGTACATGGTGGTGTGAGGTGGGTAGTATTTTTTTGGTAATATTTTAATTACGGTGGAATCCACCCAATATGTCTGATTTGAAGGGTTCCGTGAACCCCTCTTCTGTACATATAGCATAAGTCAATTTTAAAAGTTGTCAAATATGGACTTAATAACAACTCTTTTTTCTTACCTAAGAACTTATTATACTTAGCTCCTGTTTGAATTTCATTATATTTCATTCTTCTCTTTCTTATTTTCAATTATACTATTTTATATAAAATAATATTACACGTAAATCGAAATTTTTTCTTTCTTTTTCAATCACTTGTTAAAAAGAAAAAAAGAACACTTGTAGGATAGATTGAATGAGCCTAGTAAAAATAAATAGATCATGCTACATGTACAAATTTTTTTTTACAAATTTCCTTACTCACTACTCACAATGGGGGTGGATACCACACGCCGACATTTTTCAAATTCACGTGGATCCGTTAATTTTGGGAGAGTAAGCGCATCATTTTGTCAACAAAATTTTGTGCAAATATTTTTATCCAAAATAAATTAATTGAAAGAGTCTCGGTACTGGCTTTCTGCAGAAGTTTGATTAGAAGGCAAGATTGTTTCAAAAGCGTGAAAGAAGCCTTTAAAAAACGTGTTGTGTGAAATCAATCATAGTTCTTTATTGCCGACACATGGTATTCCGGTATTGACGTCAACGCGAGGTATTCGTGCACAGTAAATAAGCTCCTTTTTTTGGGGTCACGTCCCGTGCGGTTCAAGTTGGAAAATAGATCTGTCCAAAAAAAATTTTGAACAAAAATAAAACGAAATATAAGAAAATTTAAAGTAACTAAAAGAATGTTTTTCGAACCGATATTAAAGTATATTTGACAGAGTATCTGCTTTTGCTTTCATTTCTTATGGTTTTTCTTTTTTTGAAAAAACGTAATTAATTTTTAAATTAGCTTTTATAAAAAGTTAACTTAATGTATTCAAAAATAAATATTAAAAAGTTCTTTCGACCTTTTAAATGTCATGTCAAACGAATCCTTAGTGCCCTTTGGATCAATTTACTTTGTAATCAAATTTAAGTAAAATAAAAATAAAGATATTTGAGCATTTAATGATTGCATAAATTATGATTAAAGCACGTCGAGACGATAATAACTATGTCAAATTTAATTGAATCATCATTTTCTCTCTCGATCAAAAGGAAAAAGATTGACCTAATATTTTGAAATTTTTGCTTGCATTAGGTTAATCTAAAATTTCCTCGTTTAGGGGATATAGATCAAACATCTTTTTTCAAGGTAGAGAAAGCGGATAGGGATGGAGAGTTCGCAATAATTTCGTTCTTCTTCATCGTGGTAAATTTTGTTGCGTATCTTTCAAGATGAAAATGAATCATATATTTTTACTTGCTTTAATGGTAGGTATTGTGTTGTTAATTGTTATGGATGATTTGGAATTAATGTTTAGCACTTTTCAACAATTTGTTCAACTCTTTTATAATTATTATATATAAGTTTAGGAGGAATCACGACGATCATTCTGTCCACTTTGTAGGTATTTACCAATAAAAATAACATTAATATTCGTACCTTAGTCAACAAAAATGGAAGACTACCTAACACTTTCATTTCACACTTCAATTTTCAAATTCAACCTCAAGAATGAGACCTGGGACTTGGTCAATTAAATAAATTGCACAATTAATCCCGGCTTAGTACTATAGTTGCGTCTTAGTGCTCGAACTAGCTTTACATTATGATTTAACCATCTTATAATTTTGACATTTTGTAGCTTCCATAAACCATTTGATCATATATATAATCTTACGAGGTTTGGGATGATTATATCGACAAAAGTGAATTCTTTATTGCCACGACATTTGTACTTTTAGATGCTATCTTATAGTTGTAATATCAAAAAATAACTTGTCATTCACCATAGAAATATTAAGCCTCCGTTTAGTAATAATTTTTTCACCTCAAAAAATCAAATTTTTTATCGTTATTTCACTATTTAAACTGTCATCTTTGACTTTTCACTCATAGATAGAACCCACTGTTCTATCTAAAAGTAAAAAAATCAATTCTCATAATTATTACCAAACATGCGCTAAATGATTGTTAAAGCTCTATTTTTTGATTTAATAAATTTTGAAATTGTGATTATTTTTTTAAAAAATGTGTGGTTAAAAAAATATGAAATATTTTTAAATTTTCGTGTAAAATTATTTTATGAAAAAATACGTGATTAAAAATGAGTTTAAAAAAATAATTTTTTAAGGAATGGAGTTACTTGAGCTAAGTAAAACTGCAATCTAAGCCTCGTGGCCTTCGATATTTTAAAAGAACCAATGATGCTACAAAAATTAAAAGGTAAGGAACAACCAAATTGAAAAGCTTAGGGACAATGTTATTAGAAAGATTATGTGGAAATTGCAGAGCAACTTTTTCACACGTTAGTTAGAGCTTAGAATTGCTTTTAAGTTCGATGAAATCTATTTTTATCTACACATTTCATAATACTTACGACTTTTATTTACATTTTAAGTACATATTCTTTTAGGGATGATGCTACATATACATCAGAGCGTTCCAACCTCTCACGTGAAGGGATCTATTTCGAATAAAATATAATTTATTTGAAATGAATCGGTTTCCATGTGAGGGGATGGATTCTTAGGTGGAAACTACTTGATGAGTTGATGAATATTTCCATGAGTCTCTTAGCTGTATCTGCCTTCATCTGCATATCTTTTTGTTTCTGGGAGTTATAGTTCGAAAGTATCTCATAATTACCATAAGTTGTATGAAGCATAAGTTTTCATTTAAAGCGGGGTGAAATTCAACATTTTCTTCTCTGAGTGAAAAAAGCAATACATGTAAAGTACATCCAAAGACCAAGTTCGAGATAGACAACCGATGTAGCTTTTGTACACTTACGGGTGAATCTTTGGCGCACTTGTTTTTTGAATGTTTTTTCAGCCGATCAGTTTGGGATAATATACGTACATGGGTGGGTCTCAAGCGATCTATGTCTACAATTCAAAGCGCATTGGATTAAAAAGGAGAGTCGAGGCACTACTTGGCATAGCAAGGTGAAATGTATTGCACTTGTGACCAAAGTCTACCATATTTAGATGGGAAGGAACAAGTTGATTTTTGAAGATCTTAAATTGAATGTTGATTGTACTACTCATACGATTAAAACACACATATACAAAGTTATGTTTTCTTTGTATCCGAATGTTTTGATTAGTTACGAATCCATTGCTTTAGGTCTCTAGATTGTTTTTTTTTTTTTTTATTTTTTTTTTCCGGGCTTTTTTGTTCAATAGGCCAGAAAAAAATAAGTGACTTATAAGTCGGACAGACCATATTGTAATTTTGCATTACATTTCTTGCTAGCTCTTAATGATTCTATGTCAGGTTATTTCTTTAGGCCATGTTTGGGAGCTATTTTTCATCCAAAAAATTAATTTTTTAACCGTTATTTTACTATTACAGTCGTCATATTTGACTTCTTCTCTCACAGGTGGATTCCACTTTTCTCCTAACGTTCTAAAAATCAATTCTCAAAGTCACTCCCAAACAGACTCTTAATATGAATGACATCATTGCATAGAAGTGCAAATTATGTAAGAATCTTAGCCCCTCTCGGGGATAAAATTATCAGTAATTTATTAATAATTTTTAGGAGGGATAATTGTGGGCACCATAAAATATATGAATAATAATGAAAAATAATTTTGAACGAACAATTTTTTATTTTAACTGAATAGAAAAAGTAGAATAGAAAGAAAATGGAATGAAAGACGAACAATGGCTCCTAATATTATTGGATTTTTGCCGTCTTACCAGGGGTTCAGAAACCCTATCGACGCTCGCAATAGGTCACAGCTTGGTAGGGTTTGTCCCTACGTTATACCTCAAGCATGATCCAAAATTATTTGTAATTTTTTAAGAGGTACAATTGTGGATCCTACAAAATAATGTGGGTAATAAACGAATGATAATTATAGATGTGTTGAAGAAATTAATTTTTTTTTTTT